CCCCAAAACCCCAAAACCCCAAAACCCCAAAACCCCAAAACCCCAAAACCCCTTAAAAGGGACTCCTTGCTGATTTTGTCATAAATTATAACTTATTACAACAGAATGAACTTTTGATGTAGAAAATATCCAGGCAAAAGATCTTCAAGAGCAATCATCCTCTGGAGTAGCATGCCCTTTTTGATTATAAGCATTCTATTCGTATCAACTTTGTGAATAGCTATTGCATTGTTAATTATGTTTGATAAGATGGACAATGCAGCTACTCATCTTCTGAAATTGAAGAAAAAAGATCTGATGAGAAAAAGTACTATTTCAGGAATTTTTCAGCAACAATTTATTCAGAATCCTGTTCATAACAACTTCATCTTCACTTCTTTTCTTAAAGAAGTTTTAACAGGGAGAATTCCTATATCAGAGACTGCTTTACCTAATAATTTTGTATTAAATTTTAATGATGTAGTTGATGCAGACAACGATCTCGAACATTCTCAATGGTTTAGAGACCCTGATACTATAGAGTTTGATGATTTATCAGAAGTTCAGCAAAGAGAGCTCCGAAGATTTATGGCTCTAATTCCGCTATTTTCAGGATTCTTGTCAGAAAGCTTAACTCAACAAAAAGGGACTTACAAGAGCATTTACTATGCAACAGAAAAGGATAGATTGTTTTATCAATACCCTGCTTTCAGCTCTGATATATTAAAATAACTGGACTTTGACAGAGGAACCTTGTTCTTACTTTGATCCTCCAAAAATGGAGTTCTACGATGCAAGATGAAGACCTTTTTATAAAAAAGCAATTGAGGAAAAATATAATACTTCTCTTTATGGACCTTATGAAAACCCATCATCAACTAATAGATTTTATGCTCTTACCATAAGCCAAGCTGTTGAATTTGAAAAGGAAGTTCACGGGGTCATCAATCATGATATCAACTTAAATTTTCAGGAGGATTATGATTCTCTTTTTAAAGTTCCTTCTCAAGAATATTCGCAACAATCTTTCTTCAATCTCAAAAATAGGACAAAAGAAGAAAATAAGCGGAATGAAGAAAGCTATTACTTTATCACTACAATGGATGGGACGCTGCTAAAGCATTCAGAGGTTACTCTTTCAGGAAGGAAAGATACCCTGACTAAAGCTGAATTTTCCAAAACGGATACTCCTCTTGACCAAGAACTGTACACCCTAGAAACAAAAGAATTTAACCAAACATTTTTACCTCTTTTTGAAAACACCAATAAGACAGAATTAGTGGAGTTTACCAAGTACAGCTCTCAATACATTGCTGCAGTGAATCCTCTTTCTCTTAAATTCTACACTGATGGTCAAGATGGAGGAGATTACTCGAAATTATTCTTGCACACTCAAGTGATCGATAAACATTCCTTCGTGTCAAGTATCACAGATGCGTCAGAAATTTATTTCATTTTAGCAATTGGAGGAGGAGTATTCTTTGCATTTGTACTCGTGATCTTGCTAATTTCAGGATGGATACTCACTAAAATTCCAAACCGATCTCTCAGATCCATTAAGCTGCTCAACCAAAAGGTATCAAATGTGATTATCTCAAAAAGAGATTCTGACCCTCAGTTGGCTCAAGTAAAGATGACATGTCATGAAGCTAAGAAGGTGTATGAGATATTTATCAAATTATTTGCTACTAAGAAGTTTACCTTCAACACAATGAAAAACACAACAGATGCGGTTTCTATACTCGAGTATGCGGAAGCCTACACTGTTTTCAAAGGAAACATAAAAGTTCAAGGGATATGTCTGACAAATATTGGCCATATTCATTATAAGCTCAAAGATTATCAGAAAGCCGCTAAAAATTATGAAGAAGCTTCTAAATGAGCTTATGCCTTATTTAGATCACCTGATGTTCCTCAAGACAGAGTTCAAGAGTATATCAAGCTTTGCTCTAAACGAAAGTACTACGCAAGCGTATGCAAATACATGCACCTCAAAAGTAAAGAAGGAAAGCCAACTGAAGAAGAGATTTTGGAGGTTTATAAGCAGATAGAGAAAACTATAAGGCTAATTAAAAAGTCTTTTAACAATTTAGCAGATGATATTTTGATAATGCTGAACCTTATATCAAGCAAGTGATTGCTCATGACACGCCGTCTCATCTCTGCAGAGCGAGATCTCCATATCGCAGTTAAGATATTTAGAAATAAAAAGGAATTAGCTCAACAAAAAAGAGCATTGATCCCTATCATTCCGAATTGTATCCTTAAGCAAAGGATAATATTGCAAAAGGCTTTAGTACTCATAGACTTTAAAAAATAAAAAGAGAGCGGCTTATCTTCTTACAAGCCTTCTTAAGGTTGGAAAATTTTATGATCCTGCCACTAGGAAAGAGGCTTTACAAGTTTTAACTCGTTTACTCACCTTTACACCTGAAGGAAATCTGATGGATAAATATGAGGAACTCAACAATATTACAGAGATGTCTCAACTATTTAATCCAGAAAAGAACAAGAATGTCATCTTATTGGTAGACTCTACTGACGGAGACTACTTCATGACTAAAACAAACCTTTGATGAGAAATATTTGATAATTTGAACTCGAAGGATTATGTTTCTCTTTTATCGATGTCTGAAAAAGTAAAGATAGTATTTTCTATGGCAAATAAAACTCAAAATACCGTGCAACTTTATAACCAACTGCAATGTTTAGAACCTTCTCCTTCAAGGAAGATACCCTTGATGAAGGGTATCTTCAATGCCATCGAGGATATGAAAACTCAATGAACATCTAATCTTCGTAGAAATAATTTTCATTGGATAATTTGCATTGTTAGTACTTCTGAAACCTCTAATTTTTATCCAAAAATATGTCGTAAAATTGAAAAAGACATGAAGGAATATAAAATTGGGTTCCTTTTCATCACTGTTGGAAACTCTCATCCCAAAAAATTTCAAGAGCTATACAAATCGGTGGATTTTAACAACTCGACGATCTTCCTCAATATTGAAAGTAGCTTTATTCAGAGACTACAAACAAAGGGAGGAAGAGGTAGAGCTTTTTCCATTCCTAAACCCTCGCAAAGCACAACTCCCCAAATTTCAGCAGGAGCACAACAACTCAGAAGCCTTCTCAAGAATATGAGCAATGTTGAAGTAGGAGTAGAGGATCTGGTTTATGAAAAATTTTAACAAGTTTAGTACTATGAATACAAACTACTAAACTCCATTTTCTTGGTTAAACTATTGTTTCAGTCTTCAAGTCATGTTAAGGGGTTTTGGGGTTTTGGGGTTTTGGGGTTTTGGG